GAAAGCTGAGGCCATCTACTTCCTTAAAGATGTACAGCTTTTGAAACCCAATGGGGTTGCTATGTATATTGGTAAGATATGCATAGTATATCTAAGCATTTCTATCCAATGGAAACCTTTCCCCACGTTTTGTGACCACAAAGACTGAAAAATCAATGATTGTATTGTAATCACCTTGCTTCTTGCCCTATATTGGTCCCTGCTTGGGACCTTCTCAGCAAAATCGTCATGTTTTCACTTATGTGAGCTGATGGTTTCCCATCTGGATGCCTCTCTAATGCCAAACAAATTCTCTGAATTTTCACTTAAGGTCTGAGTAGTTTTTCCCTATGACAACTCCCTGCTGACACTCAGAAAGTAAAGGAAAACATTTGTTTCAGGCATGTTCACACAAGGACAGAGGGGACAAAGAGAAGACAACAGCAGCAAAATGTGGGGACTGTGAAACAGACAGAAAAGTGGCAACAGACTTAGACTTAGACCCAGAGAACACAACATCGAAAAGCAGCAATAGGAAAAGTTGAGAGTCAGCCCTCAAATGGGATCACCTATTGGCAACCCCAGTTACCTTTGGAAGTGGGAGGGAAGAGAGAGCTTGAGTTAGGCCCATGCACCTCCTCTCCCACCCCAACAAAAGTCTGAAACTTTACTCTCTGGAAAGGGTAAAACAGAGGATTTAGGGGCATGGAACTCTAGACTCTCATGTAAGGATATGAGCATATATCATGAACAAAGGGACTGAGAGACCACAAAAATGCTAATGTGAGAATCTTAACCCTCCTATCCCTTTCTGCTCCCAGAAATTTCCCCTACCTGTGGGAGTATAAGAAGAAACAACAAAAGATACCAGTTCTGGGAGTTTCCAAACAGACAGACTACCCAGATAACCCTGCAGGAAAAATTCAAAGTCAATAAACGACTGGTCCTCCCAACACTCAGAGAGCTTCCCTTGCTATTGGGTTAACACCATGAGCAGCGCAAGGATACCAGACATCTGAGGGAGGCCCCTAAAATAGACGGCAACACAAACACGAAAAGCAAACAAACAAGCAAACCAATCTGGAGAATCAGAAACCATACTCAGAGGACAAAGTTTGCATGAAGCTACAGACCCCAGACAAATTGCTGATCATCTTTAAACCTTCCTCTAAAAGGGAATTAGGCACAGTTTTTTGGCAGCTGTGATTCTGCTGGGTTAAATTTTTCTGCTAGAGAACCTGTATAACATCACTTGTATCCAGTGTTTTCCTTACTAAGCTATGTATCAGGGTGGGAGGAATGGGTTGCAGATAACTGAGGAACAATATGCCCCCAGTGCTTTACAGAACCTCACAGTGGGACAACGGATGCTGATGCAACTGGTTCCTACAAAAGTGACTTTGTCAAGGAAAATGACAATGACTTTATTGTTTGTGGTCATGCTTTGCACACAGTCACAGAATAGGATTAAATACAAGACTGTCCCATCCATTCAGTCCTTAGCATGCAAATTTTATGGGGTGAACCATCTGCCAAGGACAGTCATTGGTAATTTCTTGTTGGAAGGCCAATGGGTGCAGCCCAGCCACTGTACCAATATTACAGGATTTCTGATCAGGAAGATGGGCTACATGGTGTGTGCCACAGATCTTACATCAGAATGTTATAAAAGAGAAAAAATGTCCCTCATGCTAAGAAATCTTTTTTAACAGTGGGCAAGTTGAAATTGTATCAGACCATACACATTCCACTATATATGCTACACAGCTCCTCTGAGTTAAGTCATTGTTTAATGAAGTCTGACTTGTTTCTGGGAAAAGGGAAATACTACTGTTCTTCCTTCACTATGAGCACTGTTCAAGTGAATAAAAGAGGAAGTTGAGGAGAGCACTGACACTCTGAAAGGAAATGAGTTTAGACTATGTGAGGTTACCAAGTAAGAACGGTTATAAAATATTTATACAAAAATAATAGTTTCGTTTACAGAAGTTTTAAAACAACACCCCACAATTCATCCAGACTGCTATAACATACAATGTTGTGGTATAGTAAATTACATAGTGTGGCTTTTCTAGTCATATGTCTTTGTAAACTCTGTGGTGGAATTTGCCATGAGCAACTAGTAGCTCCTGATTGTTAAAGTTATCCACCTGGGGTATTTCTGTTGAGTGGCACAAAGCAATCTTCTGGGAAGTTCTCTCTCTCTCAGGTGTATAGAATTCTGATGTTGGGATTGGTTAGTTTGGCCACTCTGCCAGGCTCAAAAAGGAGCCCTCCTAGAGGCAGAGGAGGTCTCTCTGACTGCTGGCTGAGAAAGATGTGCTGTTGAGAGAAATGCACTCCTGAGAGACATCAGAGATACATGCTGCTAAGAGAGAGACATGAGAGAGACACACTGCTGAGAGAGAGACATGAGAGACACACACTACTGAGTGAGCAATGTGCTCCTGAGGCTGTCGGCTGCTGAGTGAGATGGCCAGCTGCAAGAGACTGAGTGCATTCCTGAACTTGAATTGTAGTCTGAACGCACTGCCTTCAGGTCAGATCCTACTCATAGCAACTACTCCTTGGGTTTCCAAGGCAATATCACTACTAAAGTAGATTGCCCAACCTTCCTTCTGAGGAGTGGCTGGTGGGTTTGAACCTCCAGCCTTCTGGTTAGCAGTCAAATGCCTTAGGTACTACACTACCAGAGCTCCCAGGGCCAAATATGACCTTGATTATTTCTCACCTGAATTTAGAGACCATCTGAAGAATAGATTTGATGCAATGAACACCAATGACTGAAAACCAGACAAATTATGGGATGACATCAAGAACATCATACATGAAGAAAGCAAAAAGTTATTAAAAAGCCAGGAAAGGAAGAAAAGATCAAAATGGGTATCAGAAGAGACTGTGAAACTTGCTCTTGAATGGAGAGTAGCTAAAACAAATGGAAGAAATGACCAGATAAAAGGATGAACAGAAGATTTAAACCAGTAGCTCAAGCAGACAAAGTCAATTGTTATAATGAAATGTACAAAGACCTGGAGTTAGAAAAAGAAAAGGGAAGCATGCTCAGCATTTCTCAAGCTGAAAGAACAGAAGGAAAAATTCAAGCTTTGAGTTATAATATTGAAAGATTCTATGGGCAAAATATCAAATGATGCAGAAAACATCAAAAGAAGATGGATGGAATACACACAGTCACTGTATCAAAAAGAATTGGTCAATGTTCATCCATTTTGGGAGGTGGCATATGATCAAGAACCAATGGTATTGAAGGAAGAAGTCAAAGCTGTACTGAAGAAATTGGCAAAAAACAAAGCTCCAGGAATTGATGAGATGCCCATTGAGATGTTTCAACAAACAGATGCCATGCTGGAGGCACTTACGCATCTATGCCAAGAAATATGGAAGACAGCTACCTGGCCAAATGACTGGAAGAGATCTATATTTGTACTCATTCCAAAGAAAGGTGACCCCACAGAATGTGGAAATTATCGAACAAAATCATTAATATTACATGCAAGTAAAATCTTACTGAAGATAATTCAAAAACGGTTGCAGCAGTATATTGACAGACAACTTCCAGAGGTGCAAGCTGGATTCAGAAGAGGATGTGGAACGAGGGATATCACTGCTGATGTCAGATGGATCTTGGCTCAAAGCCAAGAAAACCAGAAAGATGTTTACTTGTGCTTTATTAACTATGCAAAAGCATTCGATTGTGTGAATCATAGCAAATTATGGATAACATTAAGAAGAATGGAAATTCCAGAACACTTAATTGTGCTCATGAGGAACTTGTACATAGACCAGGAGGCTGTCATTCGAATAGAACAAGGGGATACTGCATGGTTTAAAATCAGGAAGGGAGTGCGTCATGGCTGTATCCTTTCACCATACATATTCAATCTGTATGCTAGGTAAATCATCCAAGAAGCTAGACTGCATGAAGAAGAACGTGGCATCAGGATTGGAGGAAGACTCATTAACAACCTGCAATATGCAGACAACACAACTTTGCTTGCTGAAAGTGAGGATGACATGAAGCACTTACTGATAAAGATTAAAGACTACAGTCTGCAGTAAAAAAAAAAACACCTCAATATAAAGA